TGGTGCTCTGGGCTAAGCAGTGAAGCTGGCAATGCCACTTGAGAACAAGGACTTCCTCTAAGGCCCTCAGCTCACTCGAGGAGCCCTGGTGGTGCAGCCATTAAGCACTCTCCTGCTTTAGCCAAAAGGATAGTGATTTAAACCCACCCAGAGGCTCTGCCCAAGACAAGACCTAGTGACCTGCTCCCGTACAGTCTAGGGAATTCTGTGGAGCAGTTCTACGCTGTGGGCCGTCCAGTCAGAATCCACTCAAAGGCAGCCTCCCTTCCCTTGATTTCATGTCCCTGCACCAGGTGTCACTTGATGCCATCTGAGATGCCCGCCACACTGACTGGGCTCCGAGTATTGGTAACCTGCCACTTTCAGAAAACAGAGGTTCAGAAGAGCAGACTGGAGTCAGCGTCTTCAGCGCCCAGGACTCCACCACTCACTGAAGAAATGGCCCCCACTCAGCAGAGCTGCAGCTGGTCTGCCCTTAGGAGATTTACAAGCATCCTTACTCATGACTCCACTTTCTAAACCCTTTGTTCTCTCATTTTAGTTCTTGTGCATGACTGGGAAAGAAAAACAAAGTCATTGCCATCGATTCCAACTCACAGCGAACCCTGTAGGGTTTCCAAGGCAATCTTCACAAAAAACAGACTGCCTCATCTTTCCAGAGTGGCTGATGGGTTCCAACAGCCAGACTTTGGGTTAGCAGCCCAAAGCCTTAACCACTGCCCCTATCTGCCCCTAATGCATCTGTGTTGTCCATGGTCTCCCCTCCCCTTTCCTCCACGATCTAGTTTTGAATGTTTATCTGGGAAATTGAAGTCTTTCTAATTTGTTGAGTCAATTGGCACTGAGTACATATACAAAAATACCACTGCCCATTCCATGGAGACTTGGTGGCACAGTGGTTGAAGCACTTGGCTCTGACTGAAGGGTCCGAGTTCAAACCCAACCAGTGTTTCAGTAAAGATGACAGCCTTGGAGACCCTGTGGGGCAGTTCCATTCTGTCCTCTAGGGGCGCTGTGGGTCAGAATCAACTCCACAGCGTTGAGTATAGTTTGGGCTTTGCCTCTGCAGAGTTGACAGCCTTGGGAAGCTTCTGGTCCGAGTGGACTGAGGGCAGGGGTGGATGGTTGCTGGTGAATACATCATGGAGTTCAGAACAGATCAAGGGCGAGGGGGGCAACCTCTTTACCCCTAGGTGCAACCAGGCAGCAGGAGCTCCCCAGAAAGCAGAGGGGAGTCAATAACCAGGAGACCAGCAGGAGTTCGCCTATCACCTTTATTCTGCAGAAATGCTTTCTGCTGATTGTCTTAGGCTACGTGGTCATAACTGAAACGTACAGTTGTAGGTTAACAATACTAAAGATTAACAAGCTGAAAATAAACCATCATGGCGGGCAGAAGAGGCAACTCCCCCCCCCTCAACTGCTGTCCTGCAACGTGGAAGGCATTCTGTCCATAACTGCCACCTACCAACAACTGAGCACCTCGCCCACAGCAACAGCCACAAGGAAGAGGGACCAGTGTGCCTGGGTCCCGCTGAAGCTGCCC